AGTCCAGTGCAATGGTCTTTTTTCTATATATACAGTAGACATTACATAATGCCTTTCTCTTATCTGCATTTTTGCCCCAAGGGCTCTCTTAAAGGCCTTTTTTCCTCATCCACAGGCTTTTCCCCCTGTTCTTTCCACAAAACATTTTCACCCACCTGTTCAGCATAATCCCACCTATTTTTATGCCACTGTGAGATCATTCTTTTCCCTCTGTCCCAACGTCAGCCTTGCGAGGTAGTCCGGACACAAAGCACACCCAGGAGTACTAGTTCTATCTGCATTACAGAATCTTGCAAGTCTGAAAGTACAATTCTCCCCTGTCTCCTTTACAGCCCAAGAAACTAGGGAGGGTCCCTTCTGAGATGTTTCCCATGCCCCCATTCCTTCTGTGGGCTCAGCCGCCCCTTATCTAACCATTGTCTAGTCTGCGGCTCTTCCTCCTGTCTCCCAAGGTCATTCCCACAGACCATTACACCCAAGCAGCTTCCACATCCTCTTTCTTTGCACCCATTCCTTCTGTTGGGAGACTAATAATCTCATAATATGTTCCAGACAGACTGAAACTTTCTCTTCCTGTGGATGTTCTACTTTCCCTGTAGTTTCTTTTACATCTTTTTCCTCCAAGCCCATTTTTTCGCAAGATCCACCCCGGCACCCCCAAGACATGGTCAGTCCAGCATTCAGAACCTCTCGTCAGCCTTGCAACCTTGGCTCAATCTTTCATCGTAAACCACCAAATCAATCCTGCCTTTAGACTGATCTTCATTCCTTTGCCCTGTGTACAATGAATAGAGTGGAACCATGTGCTTGAAACCAACCAACGTTTCCTAAGCTAAATAGTAATTGTCATGTTTTCCTTGGCCTCTGGCCCAATCCCCTTTTCTGCACTTTTTTGTCTTATTACCACACATTCATGCATGTCATCTAGCATCATACTTTTTTTTCTGGATGACATCCATGGAGAATGTTACCCAATTTTGCCCAAACTCATCCTTGGTTCTTCCATTTGTCACCATTCCCTGGATTGTATCATGAAACACTCAGCAATCTATGGATTCCAATGTTGATCCCCCCCATAACAATCTAGATCACACCAATTCATGCTTTTGGACATACATCTTAGCTGTTTCATTCATAATTCAGCCTACCGTTGCACTTCCTTGCAGGTATTCATCCACTCCACAAGGTTAAGCTACCTTTATTCAGATCGGTTATATCCCCTTTCTCTTAGGTTCATAGACCCACCCATCTCTTTCTCTTTCTTTTATTTATAACTTAGGAATTCATGTTCTTCATCTTTTCCTAATGTTAAATGACAACATACTGGCTCACACTCAGAAATGCAGGCTTATTTGATTATGTATTTTAGTTCTTATTCAACACTGTTATGCCACACCGTTAATGCATTGCAAGGCATCCTGGGTGAACTTGGGTTTGAAGAGTGGCATATGCATTTTTGAAAAAAAGAAAAAAGAAAGGAATTGCTGGTGAGCTGAAAGTTGCACATCCCTGTGGCTCATCCTTATGTTCATGGAATGAAGATATCTCACTAACTCTTTTTAGAGGACGTGTCCCCCTGGACGTAGTCTGAGTTTCATTCCTTGCCACTCCAAAGACAGCCTAAACTCATCCATAATTAGTTATTCCTACTTTAAAGTAATATTTTTGGTCAATGCCTAATTGCCTCTGGCCATTTTGGCTTCTGCTGCAGGAGAAATGGGACATCTGGTTTTGGGAGAGCCATTTGATGTAATGGAATGCCTGAACATGGCGTTAACAAAGCCCCCTTCAGACATGACATTGGTTCCTTATCTACACTGGAAGACCGGTCTTCTGGAAGACCACTAGACTCGTTATTAAGCAAGCGTTCAGCGGTCTTTTGTAAGACCAATAAATCTGCCTGTCAAAAAAAAGTGTGTGTGTCCATATAAACTGGGAAAGAGATGTATCTATGTTACATATTTATTTATTTATGCATTTTGCCCACTGTAGGACCATTTTATGTCCCCCAGGGTACTTCTGGGTGTTGCCAACTGCGGCCCTTTGCTACCAGTTCGGCAATTCTCTTGCAGCCCTTATCGATTTGGGATATTAAGGCAATGGGGTGAAACTGACAAGAGTTCTGCCAGTTTCCTCTTCTAGCCCAAGAGACCGGAAGGCTGGTAAATCTGTCTAGGGATCTTCTAGAAGACTGGTAAACCTGTGTTCAAAAATAGCCCGGCTGAGAAGTCATCAGGATGGTGGACAGGCTGGGATGAAGTGGAAGGGGGCTGTGATGGAAGGTGAGGGTGGCCTTGGAAGGTGGAGGGAAGAGATGCTGCCTGGGGAACAGTCAGATAAGAGGGAGCACAGCCCGCAGCTGCATAATGGAAGAAGAAAGAGGCTCAGAAGGGACCCTCCCTAACTTCTCGGGCTGTAAAAGAGGCAGTGGGAGATCTGGACTTTCAGACTTTCAAGATTCTGTCAATGTAGCTTTACAATAAAGTAGAGTTAGTTCATGTAGTCTTTTTTCCTGTCTGGTTTACCTGGGAGGGCTGACAGGAGCTCACTCCAACAATCTTCCAGAAGACCCATAGACCATGTTAGAATCAGATCAAGTGACAGGCTACTGATTTGGAGTGCCTCGGCACTTCGTGAACTTGGCACCAATGACCTTCCACCCAGGCATCTGCCACTCTTGCCCAAGCTCACCCAACACACTTTAAGGAGAGCGATGGTGGTGGTTTCACCTGCCAGCTGGTGATGTTAAGTAGGAGTACCAATCCCTGCCTTTAAATTGTCCCACAGAAAAGCTGCAGAGGTAGGATCACTCAGAAATGGTGGGACTGAAGCTGATGAGAGCTTGGTTGTTGGACAGCTGCACATTATATAAATATATCTTTTGACCTGTTGAAAGACTGGAGGAGCAACCCTGGGTTTGGAGTGTATGGCCACCCTGCTCCTGAAGGTGCCACAGGAAGAGGAATGTGATGCTATGTGCTTTTCTTGGGAAAAGATGCTGATTTCCACTGATGGAAAATTTGCAACATGGTGGGCATGGAAAGATGGAAGAGAGTCAGGTTGGGCTGGGGAACCCTGGGTTCAAATCCCCACTTCACTGTGTAGCTCCCTGGCTAAGTTTGAGCCAGTCACTTTTTCTCAGCCCTATCTTCTTCACAGGGTTTTTGTTGAGGATGAAATGGGAGGTGGCCACCATCTATGCCAGTGTTTTTCAATTTTGGCAGCTTGGTGGACTTCAACTCCCAGAATTCCCCAGCCAGCATG